TAAAATAAATAAAAATATTATAATTATAATATTATGTGGTATTATAAACTTATAATATAATGTCTTTTTATATAATTGATCATTTTCATTTAAGAGTTCACTTATTTAATGATATCTCACACTTGTTTAATAATATGTTGTGATTATAAATTTGTAATCGTACATAATATCTAACCATAATATTGTTATTTTGTAAATGGTTAATTATTAAAGATTTTTTAACAATGAAATCTTTTATTATTACCATATTAATACCTGTCAAATTCATTTTATATAATTTTTTATTTGATATATTGAAATATTTTGTAAATTAAAAAAAAATTCAATTTATAATAGAAATTCCAAATTTTTTAAGTTTCACAAATAACTTCCAAATAAAACTGATGCTGATGATCCGACGCGTGGCTAAGGGGTAGGGATGGAGGATACTATCCAAAAATTTTCAAAACCTTTGTCTATCCCTGAGTTTTTTACTATTCAGTCCCTCAAAATTTTATCTTTTAAAACTTAAACCTTTAAAAAAATTTAGCCCCTTCAAGTTTTACTCAAGTTGTCCTTAGGATAGAGTTTTACTCAAGTTCAGTCCCTTAAAAATTTATCTTTTAAAACTTTCACCTTTTGAAAAAAATTTTAGCCTCCTAAAGTTTCACTCAGGTTGGCCTTAGGATAGAGTTTTACTCAAGTTCTATCCCAACGGGTGGCATAATAATGTGGTGACAGTAACGTGGCAGTGCCAGCCTTACCTTATTACTCTCATAATTTAAATTTAAAATTTTTAAAACAAAAAATTAAATTCTTATTGATAGTAATAATATAATTATATTATCATTTAATATTATAAATTTATAATCATAATATATAAATAAATATATATAATATTATACATATATTTTAAATTAAAAAATTAATTATATAATAACATATTATAATTATATATTTATAATATCATTTAATATCATAATTACATTCTTAACTACTAGACTTAGTCTATGTGAGATAATAATTGCTCCGACAAAATTTATTTGTTCTTTATTTATTTACTTTGCTCTAGTTAGAGTATTGATTTATAAGATAAAAATGAGAAAAAAAATAAAACTAACAACTTGATATAAATGATATTATTAAAAAGTATATATAATATTATTAATTTTACTAAAAAATAAAGTAATTATTAAATAATATAATATTAATATTTTAAATGATTATAACTTATTTCATATCACTCGTACCAAACTTTTAATCACGATTAGCATTATTCTTCAAAGTAATACTTGCGAAAAATGAAAGGGTATTTTAAAAGGATGATGTTATAGAATATTTTTATTTTTTGTTATAAATTTTATATGTTATTAAATAAATAAATGTATTTAATATTATAAGTACTACTTAAATTAAAAAAAATTAATTATTTAAATGATATATTAAATTATATAAAATAAATAAATAAAAAATTATACAAATATTATTTCCCATTTAAAAATTTTTAAGACACGGTTGGCGGATTGAATTTGTAGACGTGGCAGCATAACCCAGCCAAAAACCCTGAACACACAGCTGAGCTGCTTATAAATGACACTGCTTGTGGTGTCCCTCATCTTCATCTCTTCATCCAGATATTGATAAGCATCAATCATACCCAAAAGAGGGCGCGGCAATTCTAGGGCTTGGGTTTTTGTTTTTTGGGTCGTTTTCTGTTTGTTGATTGGAGATGGAAGGAGCCAGCAATGGAGGGATGTTGTACCATGAGATTCAGGAGTTGAGGTTTTGCGCGGTGCATTGCGTCAACACCTTGTTGCAGGGGCCTTTCTTCTCGGAATTCGATTTGGCGGCGCTGGCCGCGGATCTTGATCGCCAGGAACGCCAGGTGATGCTCCAGGGTGGCGCCTCTTCCGGTGATTTCCTTCCCGGGGAATCTCATAATGTTTCGCTGCTAGGCGATTTCAGCATCCAGGTTTCTTTTTCTATTTTTTTTCTGCAGAAATTTTCTCTCTTGTTTTTGTGTTTTAATGGTTATTGACGTTAGAGTTATAGAAAGAATTAGATCAACAATGCTGTCTGCCTGTTTCTTTGATTGATTAAGTTTAAGTGGTGTTATTAATATCAGGGTGGCTCTATAGATTGTAAATTTAGCATCAAGATTGGTTCTTTATTGAAAAATTATATCCCCTGCAGCAGTTGCATTCAAATTGCAGAACTACAGGGTAATTATTAAGGAAATTTAGTATTTTGATTGTCTATTGGAAAACCAAGGCTATCCGATGTCAACTAGAGTTGAAAGTTCACTTTTTTTTTTTTTTTTTTGGTCTTAATTTTATGTACACCATTGTGTCAATAAAGGATTAGATTAGCTTTTGGAGAACTTAGTTGATATCTGTTTACCGTATGATGCAAGACTTGGATTTGTAAACTTTATGTCAGTGATTGGTTTGATTATCATATTCAATACACTTGGGAGGGTTTTGAGGTTCTGTTTTTACCTCAAATGTATGTAAAAAATTTAGTGCATTCAAACTTCCATGCAAAACACTTTAGGTTATAAAGATTGAGGCGGGAGAACATGTAAGTGTAACGTTCAAGTTCATTTTAATTGGAAAGTTGGAATAATGATCATTTCCATGTGTAGAACTGTACTTGTAGTTCTTGATGGATTTAGTACTCCCTATGCTGTCTCATAAGATTTTTAATTTATTTCACTTGTGTTAATTGTTAGGATTTTCAGTGGTTTTAATTGTAAAATTCACAACATTCTGCATATAGGAAGCCATTGATGCACCTTCATCTAATATAATAATGAATTTAAGAGTCATCAATTTGCAATGTGGTGCCTTATGCTCTGCATTCATTTTCCTAAAACATCCAATTTTATGCAAAGCAAGATTTAAGGTTATGCCTTTCTTAAAAATGGGATTTGACAGTCTTTCCATAAAGGAATCGTTATGCAACTTCCATAGGCAAGTCACCAACCTAGTCTAGAATGAACTGTGAATAGAACGTCATTGCTGACGCAATGGCATCGATGTCTTGCCATCATCTTGGGAAAGAGAGCTTACAAACTCACTTATGTTCTTTACTTACTTGAATCCTGTTGGTTGAATAAGCACTTCAATAAATGCAATAACACCTAAAAATTGGCATGTATAAGTGTAACGTCTTTGTATGTTATTTCTTGCTCTTATTATGAAATAGGTCAATTTTTTATTAATATGATTGATGCAAATGGTAATAAGTATCACTAAGAATTTTGTATGGGTACAGAGCATGTGCAAGCGCAGATATGCACGCACGGACACACACAGATGTAAATTAAATTAAACTGTTACTGAACAGTTGCTGATTTACTACTTACTAGCTAAACAAATTAACTAAAGCTTGGTTACCTTGATGAACAATTTAGGGTCATTCTTTACTTAATGGAATGTATTTCTAAATGTACTGCATAATAGTTACAATATAATAAATTTATTGAAATTAAGAGTTTACTTTATAGTTTTGAAAAAAAAAGAAGAAAAAAGCAAATTAATTATTGATAAGCGTTTACTGTATAAGTAATTAGATATTGTTGCTTGCATTGTCTGTATCTAAATATAGACTTCTCAATTGAAAATCATATTTGATTTACTTTCTAAAGGACACAAGCAAGGAAGTATTTTATTAGAAAAACTAACAGCTTGAATATGATCAAATTTAAATGTTAGCTCAAGTTTTTGATTTAGCTTGATTCAAAAGTAAATGAATTAAAATGAAACTTCTTGGTGCCTAAGTCTGCTTATCTTTATATAGCTTTAGCCTTACAAAGGCTTTGAGAGAGAGAAAGAGAGGCCATGTTTGTTGATAGTTTGGAGCACATTGGGAACCTCCTGTTTTTGAAATTATAAAGAAGGCAAATAGTAGAAGGTTTTCTGACTAAAAATCTTAATAATTTTCTTTGCATCTTGTAACTGTAATCCTAGGTAATAGTTGGCATCTGTTGTTTATCCTTCTCAAAATAGCATGTTAATTTCCGGAGACAATGTTGTACTGTAAAATTGATAATTATTTATTGGTATGCATTAGCCATTAAGTATGATAAAATTTTATAACATAAATGAAAACAATGTAAGTTGACGAAGTGGCTATTTTAATGTAAAGTAATCACATGTTAGTTATACCTTTTATAAATATATTGAAAATAGGACCAGTAGGATTGTTTATAATAGCATTCACCATAATAATGACTATAGTCATGCTAAGGTTATTTGCAAACACATAAGATTTCTAGTGTTAGGTTTTTTGTAGCCATTAGTTTGTCCTTCCTTATCCTATGTGCATGCATGTTTTCTTTACCTTAATTGAATTTAATAATAACTTTAGCCCTATCTAGTGTACTGTTTATGTTTTCTTCCTTTTCTCTTTCTGAGAAAACTGATTGAATTGTGTTTCACAAGGGAAGCACTCTTATTGTAATTGGCAAGCTCTTATACCAACAGGCTGTGGGACTAACTTTAACAATTTACTCATGTTGAAAGTAGAAATTGAAGAGTATAATTGCATTATTATTTGGTATATCAAGTTCTTTGTTTTACATGGGCTGCACAAGCATTCCTGATCTGCTTATTGATGTCTGTTTTCTATAACCATTCATTAACGTTGTCTTGACTTTACCTATCATTCAAATTCTTATTCACAGGTTTTACAAAAGGCTTTAGAGGTGTGGGACTTGCAAGTTATTCCCCTCGACTGCCCAGTTGCCAAGCCTGCTCAAATTGACCCTGAGCTGGAAAATGCGTTTATTTGTCATTCACACCATCACTGGTTTTGTGTCAGGAAAGTCAATGGAGAGTGGTATAACTTTGACAGCCTCTATGCAGCCCCTCAGCACTTATCAAAGTTCTACCTCTCAGCCTATCTGGATTCACTGAAGCGATCTGGTTGGAGCATTTTTCTGGTAAGGGGGAACTTCCCAAAGGAATGCCCCCTATCTCCTAATGGTTACGGGCAATGGTTCACCCCTGATGATGCTGATAAGATAACCAAATTATGCTCAATGGAGACTGCACGCCCAAAGATCAATCTGAGCTCAGAGTATCATTGTCAGTTAGATTATGATGAGAACTTGAACGCTGCAATAGCTGCCAGCCTGATGGATAGTTTTCCAGCCGTAGGCAGTGTTGAAGCAAGTGCTCCCCAGAATGAAAATAAGAATAGCGAAGACAAAGCTACATGACAAGAGACAACATTACATTCTTCGGGTTTTATTTTAATTTGCTGGATGAGTGACAATGATCCGTGTCAATTTTAGATGGTTGAACAAACATCCTTGGCATGAGAGCGTTGGACTCTGAAAGTCTTGCACACATTGTTACATTTTCAAGTAAGAAACCACAGTAAAAAACTTGTTTAAGCTTTACAGCTCAGCTTCAATTGTCTTTGGTCATAAAAAATTCTTTGAACATTTTTATGAAGGATTATAAAAATAAAAAATTGCTTGTTCTTTATGACATGGTGTGGTTCTTTAAAGTAGAAAAATCTGACCCACCGGTGATTTCAGCTAAGTGACAATGGCAAAGCCTCATTGTTGCTGAAATTAATGTGTGAAGTGTAGTTTTAAAATTATTCAAAAAAAGATTAATATATGAATTACACTTTGCCATCATCTTAGAATGTTCAAGATAGATTTTGTTTGGTTCTACTGTTGTTAACAGTTTAATGGTTTTAGACACTATAAGATTATAAAATCCGCTAAACCAAATGCACCTTAAAATGTTTTTACATACACTGTTGTTTTTCTCTCCCTATTTATTTATTTATTTTTGGTATTTCATTCAATTCATCATCCATTGTAAGGAAAAAGTAGAAAAAGGTTGGCATCGGTGGGGGTGGCATGACTGGCATGGCATGACGCTTTTAGTCTGGAATCTGAGGCCAACAAGACCGACCAAATGTTATTTTTCAAGTAAACCAATTTACTTTTCCTTTAACTGATCCTCATCTCAAATCCACCCACTTTTCTGTTTTGAAGATCTGATATTGGAATAATCAGGTTTTTCTTGTAAATGGGTTCACCCCATAGATTATTTAACAGACAGAGAACAGTTCATCAGATCCTTGGAGGAGGTCTTGGTTAGTCTCTAACTTCAATTTTCTCATCATGGTTTTTTCTTTTTCAGTTAATCTCGATCTGGGTTGTTTTTCTCAAAGTGGTCCAGTTGATCCTATATGTTTCATAATTCGGAGATTTTGAATCAAAGATGTGGATTCTGGAGTTGAAGTTATTTTATTTGCTGAAAAACAGTTGCAGATGTGATACTATGGAGGAAAAAGAATTTGACTGTGGGAATACTGTTACTGACTCTAGCAGTTTGGGTGGTGTTTGAGAGATCTGGTTACACTGTGTTGTCACTTGTCTCAAGTGTTTTTCTCCTCCTCATTGTCATTCTTTTTCTGTGGGCAAAATCTGCATCAATTCTTAACCGGTAAGTTACAGATCAAGACTTCCTAATTTTTTTTTAGTACATCCGATGATAAGTCATACTAAATCCCTCCAGTCTCAAAGTTTAAACTCGATTCTTGGAAGTTTAAGCCATGATCAGTCGGTATCTTTAGAATGGTATGATGTGTGCTATATCTTAGGTCTTTTTTTTCTTTCTTTTTTTTGGTTAAATTTCATTTTTCAATTAGAATCTTTGCAACTGAATTGTGCTTACTGCTTTCTTTAAATAGACCAGCTCCACCACTACCTGATTTGCATCTATCAGATGAAGTGGTAAATGAAGCAGCAGCTTTTATCAAAACCCATGTAAATGATTTGCTCTCAGTTTCACGTGATATTGCCATGGGTAAAGATTCAAGGCTTTTCTTCAAAGTAGCTCTATCCCTTGGGTTGATTTCTTTTGTTGGTGGCTTGACTGATTTCCTTACTCTAGGTTATGCCAGTAAGTTTCTTTTTGATTTGCCAGCGGCTGTATCTCTTAACAATAATTAACAAAAAATTTTGGTATTGAATCTTAGTTTTCATAACATAATTCTCATTCTCCAATTTCCTCCAGGCCTGTTTAGTGTTCTCACAGTTCCAGCACTCTATGAGAGACATGAAGATTCTGTTGATTCATATTGCTTGCTGGGGTACATGAAAATGCAGCAATTGTATGTGAAATTTGACAGAAACTGTGTAAACAGAGTCCGGAACAGGATTTTGGAGACGAAAAAGCTAAGCTGATTTCTTTTGTTTTCTTCTTGAGCTTCTTACTTCATCTGGCATTTGGTTTCCCTTCATGAGCTGCTGGAAGTGCTAACGGTGAGAACTTGATTTATTTTTGAGCTTTTGGGTGTGGAGAACCACATTTTCATTTTTAAAGATCACTCCCTTACCTTATCATTATCTCCAGCAAGGGATTTTGGGCTTCATCTGAATGCTGCTGTAAAGCCTGTCAGGCATTGAAAAGGTTGAGGACTGTTTATACCAAGAGTTGTAGTTTTGGCTTTCAAATAGAAATAAAAAGAGTGTTATTTCCAGCCATGATGTTAATTTGCTTTACAAATATGGTTGAGAGAATAGGAACGACCATCTTTCACAATGCATTTCAAGTTTTCCATACGGTGCCACTTTCAAGAAGGAACAACATTATACTCTCTATTCACAATTGAATGTTAATTGAAAATTTCATCTTGAAAGAATATATAGCCAACAAACATGTCAGCATTATGCCAACTGGAGCTAAAACAGACATAGAGAAAAAAAATGCCCATTACATAACAAATTTTAACATGATTGTTCAGAGCGAAGAAGGGATTACATAAACATCACGTGAAACCCTTTCTAGTCTAGGTTACCTCCAAAATTGTCACGATTCTCATGCTGCCATCCAAAGCCCTGTGTATCACGACCCATGTCACCTGGGGGGTAGTTACCTCGATTAAGCTGTGACATATGAGGTACGAGCGGCGGAGGTGGAACTTGCATGGGCTGCGGTGCCAATATACCTTTGCTATCCCGGGGATCAATGGCATTATTACCCTGCACAGCTTCCATCCCCTTGCCGGCAGATGCTGGGGAAGGAGGAATCATCATCAAGCCTCCAGGATTACGTCCATAATCACCCTGATAATTTGCAAAACCCTCTCCCATCCCTTGACTACCTGCTGGTGCATCAAAAGGCACACCAGGTTGTCCAGCATTCCAGGGTTGAGGATAAGCTGGCGGGTAATTTAAACCTCCCATGGGACCTGGTGGGAAGCCCAATAATGACCCTTGTTCTGATCCAACATCTGGTGCTGAATTTGGTCTAGCCATCTCATAGGGAGTACCATAAAATGGTTGACCTCCATCAGGTGGGAATGGATGCATACCATATGGAGGCAACACCGAGCTTGGATTCATTGGCATGATGAAATTAGGTGGTTGCATGGAATGCATTGGGGGGTATTCCTGAAACTGGTTCTCAGGCATGTGACCCTGCTGCTTTTCTGAAAACTGGCTAGATTCTGGTTGTGGGGTGCCCTGCCTGTCAAAGCTTTGTTGGAAATGGTGGGTGGCAGGCCTTTCAAAGCCTGGGGGTTGGCTATTGTCAGGTTGTGGCTCTGATGGATAACCATGAACTGGACCGAATACTGATGCTGCCTTTGGCTGCATTATTGGCCTTGGAGGCAGCTGTTCTCGGGACTGTAGCCGACGAGCTTTATCTTCATTCTCATGGAGCTGAGGATTAGAACCAGGAGAGAAGACTGCCCTTGGAGGAGCGCGAGGAGTGGATTCTGAACCTGTAGATTGTTTAGCACTTTGAACCTCTGACTCTTTACCATCTTCTTTCTCTACATTGGGCTGTAAAAGGTCACCATGACTCTCATGAATATGAGATTCAAATTCAGTCTTTTTCAGGAAAGACTTCAAACAATGAGGAGCAGCACAGATGTAGATCCCCTCCATCATCTTGATTGTCTGAATCTTCTGGACACGGTCATCACAACTGCATGAAAATTAAATAACAATTGCTAAGTTTATTCTTTTATTTCAAAAAAAAAAAAAAAATCCACAACTGAGGAATTTTAGTGTAGGCTAATAATTAGGGATATCACACCTAAAGTCCCGTCAAATTCTTTGTCTATTATCCTTAAGGTTCTGATTCTTCTGAAGAAATATATACTGTTGACAACATAGTCATCCATGAGAACCAACAACAGCTTAGGTGAGATGTATTCCCTAACTTCTAAATCTTGATTCCAGTTCTAGTGTAAGGGTCAAGGGAACAAAATTACCCAAAGAAAAGGAATTATTTGAGCAGCAGGCATGATTACCCAAAGAAGCACATAATGAACTGGCAATATAACTCCATAAAATCAAAAAATAAAAAATAAAAAGAGCACTCTGAAATATAGATATCAAATAATAATAAGTGCATAAAATGAAGATGAGGAGTTCTTACAGATAGCAAATTGAATCACTCCTAGCACAATCAAGGCAGAAGATGTGCTCACAGGGACTCTGCAAGAAAATTCACCTCTAATTAGAATACATGTTACAGAAATGAGAAACCCAGAACAAGCTATCAAGAAACATCTAGTGACACAAGTTGAGCACAGGTAAGATCAAGACCACAGAAATAAGGTTCACAACCACTAAATATTCTACAGACAATGCAAATCTCCACTATACTAAAAAAGAACACTCATTTGACCCAATTGGATTACTAACTCAAACTAATTATTAGAGCATATCAGAGAATGTATGCACCATTTAAATCATATGGCTAATCAATTGGTGCAGTGAAAAACCAAATCTTTTGAAATTGATAGTAGCATTTTCATCTAAATATTGACTTCCAGTTTCGGAAAATTTTTAGTGTCAACTATTTTCAGAATTTTTTTCAACAGCTTGCCTACTTCCTCCCTAGAGATTACACTGATACTGGAGAAATCTGATTCGAGAAATAAGTGCATCCAGGCTATAACAACCAAAAGTAAACTGGAAGACATCGAGAGGGCTAGCAACAGATGCAAGAAATTCATTCTTCCATTGATATGAATCAACAAGAACGGAGGAAAGCAACCGTACCAGTCGCCCGTAGATAGCTATAGGAAAATCACAGCGAACGCAAAAGTGGACTCGCTCGCCAAGCTGTCGGCGGGATCTTCGACCAACAGTCTTGACGAGCGAGGCGGAAGTGGCAGAGCCGATGCCCTTTGCTACAGGAAGATCAGAAAGCACAAGGTGGTCAGGGCAGGCCACCGTCACAGTCTCGGTTGTCAGGGGCTTCGCGGTGCCGCCACCGTCCGATGACGGACCCTTGCTTAGCCGGATTTGGAGCATCTTCAGTTCTGTCAGACTTGCGCCTTTTGGCTTTGGCTTTTCAGAACAATCCTTCGAATCAATGCCGGAATTCGCAAAACCTAAAAGACAGGGAGGAAGAGAAAAAAAGGATTTGATTGAAAGAAAAACAGAACAAGGAAAGATTTTCAGTCCGTTCTGAAGATTAAAAATTCAGTCCGGTATGGGAAATGACAGAATACCCTCAATGAATGGGAGATGAATGTATATTCATTAATGGTAATTTTGTCTTTGTAACTCCGAATTGATGTTTAAGTGCAGTTCGCCTTTAAAAAACCGTTCTAGAGAAAACCGAAAATATAAAAATAAAAACCAATTGGGCCCCAAATTGAGGCTGAGACCGAGCCGAGCAACCCAGTGTCTCAGGCCCTAGGTCGAAACCAGACCCAGATCCTGACCGAGCCAACCCAGCCAAACCCTCTGGTAGAATATAAAGACTGAATTTATAATATTCACTTTATGGTAGTTTGCCATTTTTCACTTAATATTTTTGTATAATAAATGGATGAAGATTAGAAAATTTTCTTTTAATATTAATTTTTAAAGTTTTTCTAAAATTTGTATTTAAAATATAAGATAAAGGTATAATAAATATATTTTTTATTATAAATTTATATTAAAAAAATAAAATTTAATTTTTAATTTATCAATTATTTAATTAAATTTATCTACTTAACATTAACATTAAAACTAACGATAGTTTTTACCTTTTATATATACATATATATGACAAACAATATCAGGTTAGAAAGACCCAACTTTTATTACATAATTTCATTTAGTTTTTTTTTTTTTTTCAATTATTATTGATTTACTACCATGTAAAAACCTAAGTTAAATTATATGAAGATTAAGACGCTAAAGTAGAACAATTAAAAAGGACTAAAGAAATAACCCCAAGAGCTAGTTCCACTAGCAAGCAAGCATTCTCATATGGGTTAAGTCTATCATTCCAAAAAGAAAAAGTTTTGAAGTACGGCAAAACTAACTCAAAGATATACTGCAAGTAAACACAACGACTACATATAACTAGAGAAGTTAATATAATATATATATATATATATAAAAGACTAAAGTATATTATCACCCCTTAAAGAATGAAAATGACACAGAAAATTCAAGTACATTTATGAAATGAAAAGTAGAAAATTTCAATTAGTCAGTATATGGTGATGGGATGACAGAATGAGAAGGAAGGACCAAAGTAATCCCAAAACCAAAAATGAAATTTATTTTAAAGAAACCGAGTTCTTAAATTTCGAGGTTTCCTAGCTTAACGCCTAGACTCAACTAGCAAAATGACAATAATGGTGAGATATGATGATCTTTATTATTCTCTCTGAAACTTTCTATGCAATCTCGTTGGAGATTCTTGAACTTTGATCTTAGCATCTTATTTATTCTGAGGATGTTCTATGCTTCTGACAAATTTTTTGGCCTGTAAAGAAAAGAAGGCAAGAAATCATAAGCAAGCCGTTGAGAAATGCACAAGTCACATGTCTGGTATCCACAGTCAGACAAAGGAAACAGAATCGTAGCAGTTTAAAAAGAATACCTCAAGAAGTAGTGTTGTTCACATGTAATGTGAAACAAAGTGAGATTTGGCATATATTTCAATATTAAAATATATATATATATATATCTCAAACCTAAAAGTTGATAGTGTTTTGTTTACAAAGGGAAAGAGGACATCTTTATTTCCAGCTGCAATGGAAGAGGTAGTTGAGAACAAAGATGGTTCATATCTACAAACAAAAAAGCAACACCGAATAGAGTAAAAGCCACCTTAACTTGTACCTGTTCTAAAGTTAGAAACATGATCACGTTCCAGGATCCTAGCCTTCCAAAGTTTGGAATAAAACCCTTATAAAAAGCAAAAGGCCCCTGGGAAGACAATGGAGAAGAAAGTTAGCTTTTCAACTGAAGCTTCCTGCTTCATTTCAGTAGCTCATACCATAACAACCCTTACAACTATGATGCAACTCACTGAAAGAAAACTGACTACAAGAAAAATTTCCAGCCAATAGGAATTCTTGTAACTTTCTATAGAGCTAAGGCTAGAGAAAAAGACAATGATATCCAGAAACAAGGATAAGCAAGCATACATCATTTTTCAAGGTTTTGATGAAACAGTCAAGTGTGCTTTTGTAAGCAGAATCTCCCATCATTCTTGACTTAACCTGCAAATAAATCAATTCATTAGCTCGATATTAAAGACACTAGCAGAAATTGGAGACCCCAGAATGGTCATCAAGCTAATATAGAATACTGGTAATAAAACATATAACCTGAATCAGTGATGAAATGAAAAATGGACCCTTTAATTTCCAAATCAAAGTTATATTTTTAGAGATGGCAATAACAGTATGAAGTTTTCAAATTTCATTGTCATGTCCAAGTAAAATTAATATCATTGCATCACAATGTTACAGATGAAATATCAAAAGAAAGAGAGGAGGTTATGAGCTCGATTGGCATTGATTAAACAGAGGAAGTTCTTGTGACCATGTACATGATATGTGGTTTTAGCCTAAAGACCATTTGATTTCTTCTATTGAATGAACACTAACTAGTAACTAATTTAAAACAAGCAGCATGCAATAAAAGATGAAAGACTGCAAGCATAGAGAAGAAAATTATATACGAATCTAGATAGAGTACCACATCAACTGGAGAACCTATACAAACAGCAAAAAAACCTGCTCCAAGACCAGCCAAAAGATGAGTGAGAACATTATCTGTGAATCCAGGGATCTTCAAGATTGTCTACATTGAAATATATAAATTAGAGTGAGTAAAGGTGCAGCCAATAAAACAAGAAATTCAATTAAAATGAGTTTTTATGCACAAATTTTACCTGTTTCACTTGATCATAACTAGCAAGCTCAGCAGCATTTATAATGGCATTCCGTGCGATATTGGGTCCAAGGCCAGTCCAAAGAGCCGCAATTCCTTCCTAAGATCAGAGAATAAAGTAAGCTCTACATGGTTCATTCAAACTGTTAATGAATAAAATGACACCTTGACATCCCTTTCTGCTGGGATAGATACAGAACCTGTCTCATGATAGTAGAATAAGCATTTAGAGCTCCAGAATATCGCCTTGGTACACCAGCAGGTAATTTCCCTTCAGCTTGAAGCCTAACCTTCACAAGATCAGTTGGATTTGCAACTGTGATTGCTAAAGCACCTGTTCAATGAGACAAGTTGACAACAACACCCATCAGCAGCAATTCTTCACATAGAGCCATTTGTTGAAAATAATCCAGCAAGTTACTCACCAGTTGTAAGCCCAGCAAGAATTTTCTTGCTCAAAGGAACATCTCCAACGAAGTCTTTCCCCACATAATAGTCCTTAACCTGTCAAAATATAAATTTATCCATAAGCTTCAGATGCCAACAAGAAAACAGAATGCTCAAAACACTCAATAAGTTTAGCCACAGAAAGATTCAAAACCCACAGGCTCATACAACCCAATTCTTAAACCACCAAACAGGCACTGGCGATGTATTCCAGGAACAATGCCTTTCCAAAGTGCAGCTAGCCCTTCTTCCCTAGCAATTGTACCGACAGTGCCCAACAAACCCCTGTACTTTGGTAAGCCTGCCACATCTCCAACAGCTTTCTTTTGGAGCTGAAGCCTAACTTTAGCAGTATCCAAAGGAATGGTACAAATCTACACCATAAACAAAAAATAATAATAATAAAATAAAAATTCAACAATCACCATAATCCAACATTTATAAAACAGTTATTTCTTTCGGCCAAGACCTCAAAAGATGCTATCCCAATCCCCTAACAGCCTAACTCCTATGGTAGTAACATACTACAAACATATCATCCACATTTATGAATTCCAGAAAAACGATGAGAACGAACAAGATCCAAAACCGGAAAAGTGTAGCATTTATACATATGATTTGAAGAATCAACTGCGTAGCGGAAAAGGCATGCAGACTCCGATTTCCAAATTACCTAACTAACTTCACAAATTCTCGCACACAACAGAATATCGGAGCAGATAGATCCATTTAAATCTTAAAGCTAATGTTAATTCACTGGCGTTTGAATATAGGCTTAAATAATAAGTGTTGATCATTGATCAATACCTCAGCGAAGCAAGCAGCAAAAGCGCTGCTGGCGAACGTTCCGGCGAAGGAGATATCGGATTTGCCCTTCGTAGCGGCCACCATTTCCAGCGGAAGAAGAGAAATGCGGCGGCGTTAGGGATTTCCTACTGATCAATGAAGACAGTTTAGCGGAGAGCAGATTGGAATGAGGAGAAGAGAGCGAGTAAAGGAAAAGAAGAAGAAAAAATGGATATCGGAACGGGGAATCTCGGGAAAAGAGACGACTGAGGTAGCGCAACTTGGCCTGCTTCCTTCTTCCCTTCTCCTTCTTCTCAGTCGTCACCCACTCTCTCTCTTTTAAATATTCCGCCTGCTTTGCTGCTCCACTTTGCACAAAGCAAGACTTTCCGGAGTCCTGATTTTGGCCTCTGGATGGTGGGTGGTAC